AGATGGAAATGCTTTAAATAGATGCAATTCAATGTTTTGTTTATCCTTAAAGCTTTGCCACTTAGGAACTTTCCTACGTGACTACCTCTGGCTTCAGGGCATTCTGTTAGGTTTAAAAATCAAATGATTAGCCTTGCTTTTTTTTTGCGTTTTTTTTGTTTTTCTTTTTTGGTTTGTGGAGCAGGCCTTCAAAATTTGGCCTATAATTATGCACCAGAAATTATTTGTGTTTTATGGATTGCGCATTTACTTCATTATTCACCTATGTGGATGCAACATCTGGATCTGTACTATTTAAATATTTCATTTCTGGGTTTCACTCTGAAATGTAAAATTAGCTTCACTTCTTTCACAAACAGCCTCACTTCTGCCACAGTGCTACTATGTTTTGATTTCAACAGCAGAATGTGGGTATTCAAAAACAAGATTGTTGTATTTCAGAAAAAACATTAATAAGCAATAATTACAAATCTCAGTTAATGTTAATCAGAATTCCTGTTATAAAAAGCTTAATTTTGTGTATTAAGTAATGGCTGTCTTTTCAAACTCAGGAGTTGAATTTTTGGAGCCTGTGCAGTTATGTATTTGTTACTAGGGTTGATGAGATTTTCTGGTGTTTGTTTGTTTGGGGGTTTTATTGGATCCTATCAGGGAAGTGATGTTTTTCTTCTTTTTAAAACATTTGGAATGTAACGAAGGGGATGGAAGAGGAGAATGGCTGGATGCCAAGAAAAGGTCTCTTTGAAGCAGAACGGCTACCACTTGCAAATGTAGGTATTTGGAGACAAGAACCTCAATGCGTGTTTAACTTCGGTGTCTGACCTGATTTGTCAGACAGATTGGACATCTTCACCATGGTATTCTGAAACTCAGGCCAGAGTTTTCAGCTGATGTTTAAATATATACTTAATTTCTGAGCTTTAAGCGCACACTTGAATGTTGCTGGAATTAACATGTCCTTTAGCATTTTGGTCCGAGTTTCATGCTGTAGTTTTAAAAATTTTTGTTGATTTTTAAAAAAAAAAAAAAAAAAAAAAAAAAAAAAAAAAAGGGCCTGCTGAATGACAGGAGCCCAGTGGAGAGAGGCTTTTTTTCAAGCTCCAAAGATGTTTGGCAGTGCAACTAGTCCCTCTAATTTGCCAAAATTCACCTGTCAGAGCTGCAACTCTTCACAGTCACTGGAGATGGGCATTTAGAGAGTATGGCCAGTATTTTATGAAAAATGGAGGAAACTTATAACTAATTTGTTGTGAGGTTAACTAAAGATCTTGAGGAAGTAGTACCTTGTAGGGACTTTGAAAGGACTCTTGCTCCTCCTTTCCTCCCAGAAGAAAGGGTGCCTGTAGAGGAAGCAGGAGGGGAAATCAAGGTTAGGAGACAGTCGGCAGTCTATTTTGGGGATTGGGTTTGACAGAATGCATACTAAGTCTTGTATGTACCAAAAAAAAATCTATTTGCAAGAAACAGCAAGACAGATTTGACTGAGAAATAATTTTTAATGTCCTCTCCCTTTTTTTTTTCCAGCCTCGCTTGATAGTGTATTGACATATCTATTTGTAACTAGAAAAATAAATGTTTAGGCATTCTCGCTTTTGCTTTCTTTCTATGTATGCTTTGTTGTTATCATCTATGAGAGGTAGATTTGATCTAGGTGTCGGGCTCGGTATGAATGCAGAGTTTACCTAAGGAGATTTTCTCTCAAATTTGATATGGGGCAATCTAACAGAACTGTCAAATTTGCACATTACTGATTCCTGGCTTTTTTGACCGTTAACGGGCATGCTCTGAGATGTGTGATGCTTTTTCATCATTTGAAAAGTGTTAGATTCCAATTCTGACTGAATAATACAGCAGCTTTGCAGCTGGACTTCTTATCCCAGTTGAACACCCCTGTGAGAAAGAAAAACAGAGTGCAACATCTAAGATTTGGGGCAAGCTAGGACAGTAGTTCTTGATAGTAAATATTTCCTATCTTTTTGGCAGTTTTATTAGGTTTATATATGTCTTGTGATGATTTTGGATTGATGTAAGTCAGAGCAGACCAGCTGAGACTATCCTATGGTAAGGATAGGGATATTGATGAAGGACATGTCTTTGGACCTGTTTGTTCAAGAAAACTCTTACTGTGTCTTCCAGCATGCTGCCTTGGAACCACTCACTTTGGACTGACAGAACCAAGCAGATGAGGCTCACTTGTAATTGTCAGGTACTTGCTATTCTTTCATTCCTTTTTTTGTCCTTTTGGTAAACAAATTAAGCTGGTAAGCGTCCTCTGACTCCACTGAGTACATCCTCATGTTCTAGAAGAACTGACAGAGTCAGTGGCCGTTCACACCGGTTTCCAAGCACCTAACTTAATGCACCAGCAGTGGTAAGCCAGTTTTTCTAAGCTTTATCTGCTCACTGTGTAGGGATAAGCCCTCCAGATGGCTGTACAGAAAAGGAGTCTGAGTTGCCTTTTTGATGTGTCTTTCTCTCTCCTGGACTCTTCTAAGAACCTGGAGGGACTAGCTTACTGATGTAGGGGTTCAAGTTAGCCTAGTGTGAATTTCCCACCTTCTTTGCTGTTATATTATCAAGGAGCCATTTGTTCTGCCTTGATAGCTTTCCGTCATTCAATTAGTATGAAGAGAGCCACTGCTTAAAGGTAGGATGGCTCTATGGTATATGTCCCTCCCAGCAGTCCATTATACTTACAGAAATAAGAATGAAAAAAAGTGCAAATCTTCTGTCCTTGCTCTTCCACTAATACAATAACTACTTCTGTGGGTATTGGAAGCAGAATTGTTTTCCATCCACAGAGCAAAATGTGAAACTTGCTAGTTTGAGAATTAACCTTCATGTTTATTTTAAATAAGATTTACTGATAAAAATGGTATATCCTCTGTTTGTCAAAGGATGCAGAAAAGGCCCTTTAAGAAGGGTTTTGGCAATCTTGAATAGGGTCAGCATACCCAAAATAAAAGAAAAGTCTCCTTTGTTGAATTGTAAAGCTGTCACCAGCTGAATGTGTTGCAACAGTATTTTTTTTTTTTACTTGACCATTTACTTTCTAAACTGTTATTACATTTGACAGCAATTGATTAAATGATGTATGTGCAAGTCCCACTTCAACCAGCTGTTGCTTTACAGTGTGTACTGCAGGATTGCCTGGCCCTCTTACAATATCAGGAATAATCTCTTCTTGACTGAATGATCCTGACATCTCTGTCGCAACTACGCAGAGAATTGCATGAAATACATGCAATAATAGTATTCTGGATGTTATCTTTATTAATCAGAAGATGAAAGCCAAAGCAGATGATATCATGTGGCCAAGTGGAACCCCAAAGACTTAGAATTCCTATATTCCAGGAAGTAATTGCTTCCTGGCTTACCCCGTTCTTGTATAGACCTTTTACACCACTGGTATCCTTCCAGAGGCTTCACACTTTCATTTGGATTCTGTATTGGATTCTTAATTATAGATGCTAAACTTCCACCAGCTAAACAGTAAACTGCTTTATATGTGGCTTGTTAACTTCATTCTCTTGCAGTTTAATGTTTGTTCTTCCTTTCCAAACCAAAATTAAGAAAACTGGAATTGTAGTTATATAGCAACACTTGTGTAATGTGTTTACACAAGTTTCTCTGAACATGTAAATAACTCATAGTTTGGAGAAAAGGACAATGGCTTAAAACATATCCTACTCCAAAAATATAGCTCAGACATACAGCACAATAAACCTTTTTCCTGTGATTTGCTTTTATTTACATAGTAACATAAATGTTAGGCCAAGCTTTCTGTGTAGAAGTAATCGTTTCCAGGACCCCTTCACAGGAACTGCCACTGATCTAACATGAAATTAATTCCAAACAATTTAACGGATAGTAACTCCAGGGTCAGGCTGGAGTGACTATCATCGCTTAGTAAGCCAGTCCTGTTGCAGGGGTCTAGCAGTGATCCTATCTTGAAGGTTTCCAACGTTCATCTGAATGCAAAAACATCATCAACAGAAAAGGGCTTGTTGTAACAGGAAGCACAAGATACCAGGAAGTTTGTCTGCTTGGGAGAAAGTGGAAGAAAAGGGAATGGAGAAGCGAAAAACGAAGGGAATGAAAAGATCTGACTGTAAATGTCCTTGGTTCATTTCATGCCCTTCTGTTGTGCTGCACTAGCACAGTGTGTACACCAATAAAGTAGTAGAATGCAAGTTTACCTTCTAATGACAGAATTTGGAGTAAAACCCAAGTGCAGCATTACTATCGCCTGCATGATGTGAAGAGAAACACTGCTTATCCAAAACCAAAGAAGTAGGCATCACAGATGCAGCAGCCTTAGGTTGTGTAGACGTATGAATTCTTTTGGTGGTTCTTCAGTGCTTGCTTCAAGGGTAAACTGAAAGTATACTCAACAGCACTAGTTTTCAGGGTATAAGATGGTAAGTGAATGGCAAGTGTCTGAACGCATATCCTGGCATCCTGTGCTGCATTCCCAACTAGCTTTGCCAACAGCATTGCGTGGGGGTGTGGTGCAGCTATTGTAGGAACTTGTTACAGAATTTAGGTACTTTCTGCAAAGCGTCAGAGCAGCTCCATTTCTCTGCTCTTGTGGCCAAAGGGAGAAAATAAGCCAGGTCCACACATCCGGTTTCAGCAACCAGTTGTATAAACCAGGAGACAGTCAAGGTTTTCCAGTGATGGATTTTTTTTTTCCTCCCTCCAGATTTGATTATGCAGCAGGGCGTAAGGCTCGGTTAAGCCTGAGCCACTGTAGGAACCTGACTCTGCGGTTTTGGAGTTAATTGTAGCAGACATGGGAAGCTGATAGAACAGCAGCCGTGTGCACTGAGGGCTGCATCTGTGAAAGGAGAGGAATTCTATGAGCGCTTGAAGTAATGAAATCTGACTCTTTTTTTAGGATTTTTTCTGATGCTTCTGGTGTCTGAAAGATTTTTTGCTGTGGCTTCAGCTTTTGAAAAGGCTCTATTTGTGTGGTTTCTGTTGTTGAAGAAAAAAGATGGGAGAATCGGATGCAGACACAAACATATATTGTATAACGAGTAAGAGAAAAGACTATGCTATTTCAGATTACCATTGCCTCAATTATTTGTTTTTACATGATAAATGATCTGTTCTACTGGGACCGTTAATGATGTAACAGTCAATTATGAATCAGGTTGTAAGAGCCTCATTTATAGATGTGTTATAACAAGCTCTCGGAAGAAAATGAAATGATAATTCATATAATTATATAACTGTTGCTAAGCAGTAGGTTAGTCGGTAAACTTTTCTTGTTCCTTATATTTTAAATATCGTGTTACAGAAAAGTCATCCACTCATCCACGTTTATACTAAATGAAACAATATCACCAAATGATAAAGACCCCAAAGTGGTCACTAGTGTACTTTAGAAGATGGCTATTTAAAGTGGTTTGTTAAATAATTTAAGTAAGATTTGAAGAAATGTATTCTATTGTTTTGTTTAATGTAGGTTGTAGGTTGACATCTCCACAGACAATTTGATGGATCGGTGGCCTGAAATCCTTTCTGGATGAAACTTAATTTTTCTATAGAGAACTTAACAATAACTAATCTTGATGGATACAGACGTGCATAACAGAAACAAAAGTCTACATCTATTGGGAAAGATGACGTACAGAAAGGCAAACAGTGCTATGGCAGTGGCATGGGCCTTGAGGAAATCCCTAAGGTCTAATGAGACAATATTTAGAGCTCGAATGGCTCATCTTGTATTGTCTGACGTCTGCTAACTCTTCCTGATGGTTCCCTTCATCTCATTTGGCTTAAATCTTACCAAGGCTATCTTTAGCTAGGTTGCTTTTTCAGTTGATGTATCTGTAAACTAAATGTATTGCATAATAAGGTAAACCTAGACAGCATCTTATGTGCAAGAAAACAAAGGTGAGCAATTGTCAAATATTACCTTCTGGGATTTTTCTCTAGAAAGAAGTGAAGTCTACTCTACATGCTTTGCATGTTATTAGGAATCCAAGGACAAGGCTACTAAACCTAATGATCACTAATATTGATTATGCTTGTCTTAGAAATAGTCAGTGAAGGCATTTAATCACTGTATGCATTCAAGAGGTGAGATGCAAGACCTAATCTCATTTCTTTTTTTCCAAACAGTCTAAATTAGCTTATTTTAAAAATTTCAAGGGCCTTCCTAAGAAATCTTTGAGAAAAGGTGTATCATTACTGCTTGAAGCATAGACAGCATCCCTGCTATAAGGAGAAATGGGAATCTGTGGTTGTCTTCAGATACTAGTGGAGGCACTAGGTCTTCATCAATTATGAAGGATAGAACTCGACACAAATTATTCTAGCTGATACTTTGTGTCAGAATATCAACACTTTTCTAACGTGTTCATCTCGAATTAGGATAAAATAGTTAGTTCCATGCAAAGCAACTGTCCTTAAAGTATTGCATAAATAGAATCAATTAAGAATAGTTCAACTATGATGTCATATTATGAATAGCTATTATATTACTGCAATGGCAAGAATATGTGATTATAAACAAATTTAATTTCAAGATTACATTTGAATTTATTACTTCACTGTTTTCAAAACAAGGACATTGCTTTTGTAGAAATTCTCGTCGGCTCTGAAACAATTGAGCAGAAATTTCAGTGAACTAGTATTTCGTAGGACCTATTTTGATAATGCATTTTCTACTGGCTTTCGGCAACACCTGTTAGCCAACAATTTTGTATGAGGCTGACAAAAAGCAAGAACTGAGTTTTCACGTGCTCTGCCATATAGTGTGGTTGTGTTTACTTTGAAGTCACTGCTACTGTTAGTTACAGTTCACAGAGACTTATTTGGAAAACTGGCTTAGGTAATGATCAGTATTTAGAGAATTTTCTGGAAGGGCTTTGGGAGCGTGTGGCGTTTCACACCACATCACGTATTTGCCAGGAGCAGCTGAGCTAGCTCATTCAAACGTAGCTTAGGAATGGCAGTTCCCATAATGCTGCCATCCCTTCTTTTGACTAAAAGTAATAAGAAAGTCTACATGGTATTTGTTTAATATGATTTTTTTATATTTTCCTTCTTTCTCTCCTATTATCTATTAGAAGTTAGAGCACAAATGATTCCAGGTCATCAAATGTACTTTCTTGTTATGGCAGGCAACCATATGGAGTTATTCTTGAGACTTATCATGCTTCCTCTACTTGTTGTTGCCCCCATCTTGCATGCCTATTTGAAATGAAAAAGCCAGTGAAAAACTGAAATGTTTCCTTTCAGCTTACACACACACACACACACACACACACACACACACACACACACGCACACACACGAGTTGACATGAATTCACAAAGTTGTTCACTTGGATTAGTTGAAAGGGATTAGTTTTTGTTTTGATTTTCATTATTTTACCCAAGAAGTGTTATTCTCCTAACTGGCTGACTCTACTCAAATATAGTATCAGGTAGACCCCGTTTCTCTAACTGAAAAAATTACGTTCTTCTACTTGCAGTTCTTGGACCCCTTCCTTCTGATAGGCAGCAAAATAGGAATTGCTGTGTACTTACATGCGTAGGTGAAAATTGCTCTACAGCTTTCACCTGAACTTAGTAGATGTTGAGCCTTAATATTTAAAGGCATAGGCTTTAGTGTATGCTCATTGTGATGTAATAGAGTACTCTGATTTATAGCATGCTATAGCTTACGTTTTAATCAGAGTCATTTCACTGTATTAGGACTCAGATTAAATTCTTGTGCTTTTTCAAGGAAGTCAGAATTCAGGTGTTATTTCAGTCTCCAAATGCGATTTCCCATAAGCCTTAAAATGAAGACTATTTTGCAGTTGAACACAGGATAGCAGTGAAAGGCTAGTTATCAGACTCTCTAGCTGAGTTCACTGGGTCATATTTTCCACATTAAACAAACCCTGCCATGGAGGCAACCTGATTTTCCTTTCTTCCCTTTGCTCTCAAGTGTCAAACCAGACTGCTGTATCATCTCCAGATGGCTTTCTCTACATGCGTGGCTTGTGGATTATGGCTTTGTTACTCTGGTTTAATGCAACTGGCTATCTGAAAGTGTTTTAAGAAGACAATAGGTCAAAAAGACAGGGTGGAAATTTAAGGATGATGTAGACTTTTCATGGTAAGTCTCCCATTTTTAAAACTGTTCTGAAACTGCATAGCTTTTGCATCTAGTGAGAATTATCATATCCTGTAACTGCAGTTACCTGCACAACTACGCTGACTAATCCATTTAATCTGTTTTAGTGTGCAATATTTATTGAAAGTTGTTTTACCACTGAGGTGGGGCTACTAATTATATCGGTCAGGCCCTTTTTTCTGAATTAGTGCTGTCTTTGTTTTTTTGTGGGGGTGGAGGGAGGTGTGTCCTTTAATGCAGTTCACCCGGGAAGAAACTTTGCAGCTGAGATGAAGAATGAAAAGATGGAATCATGAGCATTTCAGAAATATAAAACATCATTAAGGTTTTTGCGGCCACTTTGTAAATTAGGACTAAGTAAATTACTCAGTCCTTTACAACATTAAGGCAGGCAACCCTGAAGTGGCTTTGAGATCCATTGGTGCTAGTGACTTATTCCCTTTATCACTGAAATCCAGCATATACCGCTGGCATATAGCAATAATCTCTTGCCATGCACTCCGCTCTTTAATTGAATTATTTTGATTGCTATCTTTGATACGCTAATGCATTTCCCCATGATTTTAGCAGGGCTGTAATTAGAATTGCTAGGATTAGACATTAATATTTATAACAGAGATCGGCTTAAAATCCTATCCTGAAATAGCATGAAGTAGTCACATATAATTCTAGCCATCTGGGAGATATCAGCTGCTGAAGAGTCACTTTATGGTTGAACTGTTCCTTCCTGCCACAAAACTTTAAGTCCTGTACAAAACTTTTAAAGCTGTTGGTTGGAAAGATCATGTTGTTTGTGTAAGCACGCAAGCAGATTGGAAGCAAGAATCCAAAACTAATTTTGCCCTGAGATTTGTTGACCACTTAGAACTATATGAATTCACAACATGCTCATGTTCTAGGGATCTCTCCTGTAGAAAACAATCTCTTAGTATCAAAAATGGGGATGTAATGCTAAGTTTTATGTTTGTCCATGCTATAGTTATTTTCTAAGGATGGATATTTTATATAAAATATCTGCTCTTACTATGTCCTCTGCCAAATCTGAATACAAATTGCCAAAGACAAAGATGTGCCACTGAAAGCAGAAAGATATTGATTTTGTAGATAAAGCAGTCTCTGTGTCTCCACTGAACTGCCGACCTGATATTTTTCCGTTGCTGTCAATGACAGAATGGCCTCAAAGTAGATAGGCTCAGCAGCTACAACAGGTACATTTTTCTTCATCCTTTCATATAACACATCGCTGCCTTTAGTTACGTATTTGCAACCTGCTTAAAAGTAATGGCATCATGCTAGCTGCATAGTGAAATTTCTCGTCTAGTACATTTGATTTATTTTTTTAGGTACACTAACATTCTTTTGCAACGAAACAATTCTGGGCAGAGGCTTCAGTGTCTGAAATTGGCTACCTGAATAAGGAGGGTTTATTTTAAAGTTAGTAGAACTTACAGTTCAGTTGCTCAGAGGGTCTGACAACGAGGAGCCAGACTTGAACGTTCTGACATGAAAAAATTCTGGGACAAACCCAAACATTTGAGCCCTTCACTAACCCTTCACCAGAGCTCCATCAAAGTACAGGTAGTAGAAACAATGTGTTTATATTCTGTTATAGATTCTTATATACAGGAGAAGATTCGAGGCTAGAAAAAAGCAAAAATCCCAGTTTGAATGGAATCAATGACACAATCTAGTCTCAAATAAAGAGAAATAGGATTCCATGCAAGTAATGTAAAAGCTATTTTAAATTAGAGAGACATAGGTGTCAGCTCCACTCAACCATACACAGCAGAAGTCTGCGCAAAGCCAACAGCTCAAGGGTCAGGCATCTCATATATTTCCTCTTTGCTAAATTTACTCTATCTAGAGTAAAACATCTCTTTATTATCCATACTATTTATTTAAA